ATCCATCTTAGAAGCACAAGCAGATGGTAACGGGCAACAATCCGCGTCGCTCCTCATCGGCCCCCTTCTCACCATCGCTTCAGAGTGTTTCGAAAAGCAGCAAAACAATTCTCATACTTGGGTCTGCCATCTCAAAATAGCTTTTTAAAGGAGTTAACTATAACCACGCAAAATTGCGACACGTCCCAAACACCACGCCGTGGAGTATGGTCCAAGGCCAAAAGACCTCCTCAAAGCTTCTTCTACAGTAGACTTGAGGCACACGTGCATCAGAGATCATCACAATGCCAAATAGCATTTATAGACTGTATTGCTCAAAAGGCTTTTAAGTAGATTACAGGATGAGAAAAAAGGAGGTGATGGCAAAAAGAATCCCTCATTTTCATTTGCTATTACACTGTAGAAAAAGAGAAATTATCTCAACCTCTCTCAATAAGTTTGAGGTTTAGTTTCCAGCAAACCAAGTATTTTCCAATAAAGAGCATTCACATGGAACCATTTTCACTTCCTGTGTGATTATTAACATTTTATGCATTCTGATTTGAACACCCCTTTTTAGAGGAGACCAATACAACCGAGATAACATTTTCAGTCTACTACAGAAAACTGTGAGGGCTTTTCCTACTATCACCACATGCATTGCTGAAGGGCCCGAGTATTTACAATGGCTTAAAACATCAGTCTCGAAATATAATTTGCAACTCCTTAACCTAGTTCGCTATTCTGTTAACGCCTCTCTCAATACGGGATCTGAAAAATTAAATTACTTACTTACCCATGGGCCTGAGGTGCTGCCAGAAGAGCTTCAACATTCCCAGAGTAAAGATTTATGATGCTTTTTCCTATTTAATACATACGCACACAGTCTTCACACAGTGCAATGATGTGACATGGACACATCCCGAGAATAAACACTGTTTATTCAGAACAGTACATCTGTTCTGGAGAGGCAGACATCTTGTGAGAAAATTGCAGTAAATGAGCATAAAGTTTTATTATTTTTTTTAAGCACCAAAATGATAAATTTTCAAGTTGGTACAATACTGGTAACAGGACACTTTGTGTTTTCTGAACCACGGATGCCCAAGTTTGCACATGCAAAGATGAAGTATTTGCATCCTAGAGGTATTCAAAAGCAACAACTTCACGTAGGTCCTTCACTACTGCCGAGAGAAGCAGGAGTAACACCGGCTCGCACATTCGCACAGGCACGGGACCGGAGGCCATCGCGGCCATGGCGCTCGGGGACAGCCTCCATTGCGCGGGGAGGGGGCCGCCCCACTCCATTACAACAAGGGTTAGCCAAGTACCTCCAGTGGCATGGCCACTTGTTAGATACTAATCGAGATAAGTTGCTGGGACGAACATGGTTAGAAAGTGGCAAATGAGCCAGGAAAAACATTAAAACCTGGCTCCAGTCAAGTGTTCTGTTCCTGCAGTCGGAAGGGGAATCTCTTGTCACCGAGTCCTCATTCTTCTGCCTTATAAATACACCATTTCCTTTGCCGTGTGGTAAGCGACCAACGTGCACTTCAGCGTAGATGAATCTTTGGTAAGGTGGTAAGCGAACTTGAAAAATAAATTCCAGCGCCAGCACCTATTTCATCTGGGCTGCAGTTAATCGGATCTCCTCTAGATTCTTACCCTACGGGTCAGCGGGTCTGTGGGCCACCTAAGAGGCGAAGACAGCATGGCATCATTCGGGAGCCAGTCCGTGAGCAAAGCTTTTCTTCAGAGTTTATGAGAGCGCAGGATTACACTAGTTGTGGGTGACTCAAATATATTACTACCTGTAGTTATGGTAGCAATATTTGGCTCCTAGTATAAAATACCCAATTATTATGCCTTCCGATAGCATCAAACACTTTTGAACTTAACAGGAGACTACAAAGAACACACCAATCCGATGCATGTTTCATATACATATTTATATATATTTCATGTACAAAGTTACATTCTGAACCCCATGGATTCAATAATAGAAATAAATACTGAAATAACTACACTGCTATATGAGCTTTTCCGCTCACAGAAAAGAAGCCTCAAGTTTTAACAGACAGCAAGTTTAACGCTGTAGTATCCATACTGGATTACAGAGGCAAGTAAAATTCAGCGTAAAGTGTCCAACAGACAAAACTTTCAAAAATTACAGACCATAAAATGTTTAAAATATATGTTTAAAAGATTGAGAAATGTGTATCAACAAAATTAATAAAGGAAACTTAATCTTGTTAGAGGGCGAGAGAGACATTTAGTGTATAGAAAAATGCTTTGAGGTGCAACATAGGTTGTTACAATATGGCATAACCCTGTTAGAAAAAAACATTTGATTTCCCTAAAGAACTGTATTTGAGTTTACCGTGTCTTGTTTTAGAGCAGGGCCTTCACAAGACCCTGTCTCAACAGGGTCACTTACAAGAGTGCTAAGTCAGGTTTAATCCTTTGGTAACTTTTATAATACTCACATGGAAATAAATATTCAGTTACACAGCATTTTAAAAGACACACGTTCTTTAGAACAGTTAGTATAATAAAACAGATTTAACATTTGTTTGTTACTAAGGCAGCCTATGATAAAGTGTCTACGCTCTGCCAGCTCTATCCGATCCAACGCAGGAAGACCTTTACAAGAAATGGACACTGCAGCAGCTTATACGACGCATTTCACCTTCACCATGCAAACACTCTTACCCAGGCAAGTAATGTGCTGCATATTTTGTGCTCGAAATGTTTCCAAACTATTAACAAGCTGTAGCTATCAAGAGATTTACTCCTATTTATATGATGCTTTAATCACGAGTGTATGCATAAACACATTCTTGAGACGGATTTGTAGGAGCGTACTGCCATCGCAATGCCTGGGGTTTTACGTGCTTTATTCACCGTTCAAAGCGACCTTAAGTAGAGTTTAAAAATCCCAGTGCACTGCGGTGACAATAGGGACCCATTTAATCTACTGTACCTTAGGACAGGGGATAAAGTTTTAAAAAGAGAAATACAGAGAAGTGCACATGCCTTTTATCTACACCCACAGTGGTACACAGTTAGCCTACTGTTTTCTTTAAAACCTTTCCACTTTCGGACACAAACAATCATTCTCTGAGAAAATTTGCAGGAGTTGGCCCACTGAGGTGACTAAAATGGCACGGTGGACCAGATACATTTGGCGAAGACCAGGTACGCCCTTGCCAGATTGAACTGCTCTATGTGATAGCAGTAAAGCCGTTCGGAGCAAACAGCCCATCACTAATTACGAATAAAATGCTATACAAGAACCAAGGAACAGAATTGTGCGCTTTTTTTTCTGAGAACATGAGAATGTGACAATCAAGCAGTGAGTAAAAGCTTTGGAGACTGTGTTTTCCAAAGAGAAAAAACAAGTAAATTTAAGAAAATGGCAGGAGAAGCGGTGAAACTGCACCACTCACAGTGACGATTCTGCACAACAGTAAAAGTTTAGACAGCATTTTTCTTAGACATCCAATTCATAAGTTAATTCAGATGTGCTTCAGGTTCAGCATACATGTCTATAAGTTTTAAACAGGTCTTTCTAAGAGTGTTTAGTCATTTTACTTTCTGTATAATTTTTAAAAAGCTTCCAGACTTTGTATTTAAGCCAAAGTACTTTAGGAGTGACGTTAAAGATGAATTTGGAAAGCAGATTATGAACAACATGCTCTCATCACTTTTGGCATTCTGAAGAGAAAAATACTACCAAGATATTAGACATCTTTAATAACGATTTTTACTACATAGTTCATGTCCTAAATACATATTTACGAGAGGAACAGCTGTGTACAAAATATGTCGCTTAAAAAGTATTTATACATATAAATCTAACCAATAGACCTGAATGGAGTTTTTCTGGTTTATCAGCTATGATATGCATTTGAAAAAGCTGCCTAAATATATATTTACACAATAGACCTCAGCTAAATGTGTTCATTTAAAAAATTAAGAAAATATATAAACACATGTTTGCCTGATAGACCAGAACTGCTCCTATTGCATAAAAATGTTTAGGCAGTTTTAAAAAAGTGTTTCTATATTTACTCTTCTGAAACTGTTCAGTTCCCTCACATAATCAAGTTATTAAATTTCTCTGCCAATCTGAACAGAACAGTCCCAGCCTTTTGGGGGTAAATGCTGGATGTTTATTAAAACCCTTCAAAACTTGGTACTTTCCAGAGACTAAATGAAAGAGCAAATCTGGGTTTTAAAATATTCTGAAGTACAGAAATGACAACGTGTTTAACTTAGGTCTGATACTGATGTAGGAAATTCAACGTAAAAGGAAGACAATCTTCAACTCACACTTATGGTTAAAAAAATAGATGGTGAGTAGACAGAATGTCAGCCTCATATTAGAGTCTCCAGACTTTCATCATTTACTCAATCTTAGTGTTACCTGCTAATGTTGTTGCTAAACTTTTTTTTTTTTTACTAACTTGGGGTATACAACTACAAAAAAAATTTACATTTTGTACCTAATTATCTGGCACTAAAGTTCCTTTACAATCTCACTTGGGCAGAATGCATTTTTCCTGTACACTCTCGTCTTTTCTCATGCTCTAATTGAGGTCTTTAACCTTCACACATGTAGTGCCTCATGAGTTTGACCAGCTAGGCAGAGAAGGTCATTCTAGTGCTTAGGACATAAGGAATTAAGACAAGAAAAGAACAAAACATGTCCCCTGTTCAAGAATTTTACAGTTATTTTCAAATTCAAATCATCCTAAGAATACCCTTTGGAAACCGAGTTGTTCCTTGTCAGGGAAATGGGAAAACACTATGCTGAAAATTGCTCATTATTGAGGGCAGCAGTTCTCAAACTTTGAGGTTTGACAGTGAAATCATGTAATTTTATTTAAATATTGTCATCTTAATTCCTGTACAATCCCCTCCCCCCACCCCGAAATTCTGATGAACATAAGTTAAACCGTATACACTATGTAAGCAAGATTTTCCAGGTTTGAAAACAAAAGCTGAAATTTACAGTTTCCTTTAGCCCTCGCTGAGTATTTGGACGAGTCTTAATAATCCATTTTATAATTTTTTAATTTTTTTAATACTTTGGGACTAACTTCGCTGTTTTACTCAATGCATTATACAGTGAAATGAAGCTCAGTTGTAATAAAGCCGAACTCAAGTGAGACTACCAAAGAAGTGAACTACATTAGATTGCTGTGGTACAGTAAAACTAATGTCTCAGTTGCTTACTATGGTGTGCACACCAGTTTTGAGAAAGATCTGATTTCATTATACTGTTCCATGTAACACGGGTGCAGTAAAACAGCACAAGCTAATTCCTGTATAGTTAAAGGTATGACAGATTTGCAATATAAAGTTAAACAGCAAAGAAATGCTTCAACATCATGTAGTGAAACAGGTTTCACAAAATAAAAAAACATGCAGAAGCGCTTTTTTTCTTTTTTTTTTTCTTTTTTTTTTTTTCTTCTTTTTTAAGGTCTCCAGCTGCATCCTACAGGCTCACTCACTGCCACACATTACTTGCCACACTATCAAGTGACTCCTCTCAGCTTTGGCTACAGAAGGTTCAAGTTGTAGAGCTTCTCCAAGAAGTTCAGATTCTCCACCTTCATCACCTGAAAAACAACAACTTTGATTCAGGCAGACAATAAAAAAAAAACAGTATTTACACCAAATGCAGGAAGACAAGTGATATCTAGGTTTACAAGAAAAACGCTGTAAGAGACAGTAGTTGCCATATGCTCATATAAAAGCATATTCAAGATTATGAATATATACATTGCAACCAAAGTCTGTTGCATGATTATTTCAGAGCCTAGTATTCTGATGGTCATACTCTTCAGTTCTAGCCCCCCCCCAACTAGTTTAAGTATCCATCTTCTACACATTTCATTACTTACAACTCTTTGAGGTAGAGAAACAACCACCTAATTTGCAAACGTGAAGTAGCTCCCAGGCAGAAGTGGAGATGGTTATCTCCAGAAAGGGAGATGGAGTGCTCCCCTGGTACCCATGCAGGCTGGGGGTGAAGGGGTGGAGAGCAGCCCTGCCGAGAAGGACTTGGGGGTACCGGTGGATGAAAAGCTGGACGTGAGCCGGCAATATGCGCTCGCAGCCCAGAAAGCCAACCGTGTGCCGGGCTGCATCACAAGCAGCGGCCAGCAGGGCGAGGGAGGGGATTCTGCCCCTCTGCCCCGCTCTGGGGAGACCCCCCTGCAGTGCTGCGTCCAGCTCTGCAGCCCCCAGCACCAGAGAGACATGGACCTGTTGGAGAGGGTCCAAAGGAGGCCATAGAAATAATCAGAGGGGTGGCACAGCTCTGCTCTGAGGACAGGCTGGGAGAGCTGGGGTGTTCAGTCTGGAGAGGGAAGGCTCCGGGGAGACCTTCCTGCAGCTGCCAGGGCTTGAAGGGGGCCTATAACTAAGATGGGGACAGGCTGTTTAGCAGGGCCTGTAGCGATAGGACAAGGGGTGATGGTTTTAAACTAAAAGAGGGTACATTTAGACTAGATATAAGGAAGAAGTTTTTCACAATGAGGGTGGTGACACCCTGGCCCAGGTTGCCCAGAGAGGTGGTCGATGCCCCACCCCTGGAAATATTCCATGTCAGGCTGGACGGGGCTCTGAGCAACCTGGTCTTGTTGAAGATGTCCCTGCTCATGGCAGGGGGGTTGGACTAAATGCCCTTTAAAGGTTCCTTCCAGCCCAAAGATTCTATGATTCTGTGGTTATGCTATGAGAAAGCGCGCTAGCATGAACACATAAACCATATCAAGTGCTCTGGAAACAAGAGCAGTGATTGAGCACAAGTGAGCCAATGCAACATTCACGTCTGTGATGAACCTTTCTCCTTCTTTCATCTTGTTCTAGTTATCCTAGCTTGTCACAGCTCTGCACACACTGGCACAAGACCGCCTTAAGCCTACTCTCCATTACTGCTCTTCAAAAAAGAAGAGCAGTTTTGTAACTGCATCTAAACTCGGTGACATGAGCTGACTTGGATCAAAGGTGACAGAACCACTAAACAAAATTGCACGTAGACAGTAATGAAGATCAATACAGAGGCAGTCTTGTGGTACAGAATGTCAGTTTAATCAGATGAAATAGGAACTGACCTACAACTTCAGCAAGGTTTGAAGTCACAGTTTGGCTGGTTTTCTGGTTAGACTACTCTGGAGGTCTGAGGAACCCAAACATAGAATAGCCTGAACTCGCTCTTGAGCCAGTTTGCTGCACTAATGTGGTAATAGCTGAGCTAGTGCAGCTACAGTACTGACGCTGAAGTTCATGGCTTTGCATCATGCCACAAGGACAGCAAAATGCACATCTGGTATGTGGCTATACCAGCTTGCTTGGAACAAGCGCAGAGTTCTTAATACTCACTTCCGTGTGGCACAGAATTGCCTCAAGTCCTGCCTCCTGCGTAACTCCACTGGGGTTACCAGCAGGAACTTGTTTTTCAGTGACTAGTGGGATGACAGAATTTGAGCTGGCCTTCACAGGTTTTCCTTTGTAGTGGTTTTTGTGGGGTTTTTTTGTTGTTTGATTTTTTTATTTTTGAAAAAAACCTGTAGACAGATTTCAGCAAAAGGTCAAAACCCGGTCTAGGAGTTTAACTCCTTTTTATGCACTTTTTGTGAAGGTCTCCAGCTACAGATTGTAAGCATAGGACCACAACCACTCTCATTTTGTTATATTTCCCCAAAAGCTTCAATTAAAAAAAAAAAGTTTACACAAGAAATCTTCTATGGGCTAGGTCATGCAAAAATGCTATTCAAGAAAAGCAGTGATCAAAATAAGAACGGCATGCAAAGATAACAGTGAACTACTTTTTCCCTTTTCACTCAAAAATGAGTAAATTTTAGTTTGAGTGTTCTTCACATAATACATGACTTTTTTTTTTAGTCAGTCTGCATATTTAAGTAACTAAGGACATGTTTTCCAGCAGTTTGAGACAGAAGACTAACCTATCAAAGTAAGACTGAAAGCATCAGCAAAGGTAAGGTGGTAGATGACTCCAAAGCAGCGTTTTAAATAAACATTTTTACAGAGTAGTCTCAGAGATCATGGTTTGATTGGGAGAAGGGGAAGCTGAAGGTCTGTGTGTCTGGGACAGAATAAAGACACTTCTATCCTCGCACTTGCTTAGTAAAAACTATATACTGACTGATCACACAAATGCAGTCTGCAGTCACAACAGACGTTATTATACGGTCAATGACCTTTCAGTATGGAAGGGGTTACAAATGATTTTAAGCTCAGTTTTCTTACCCATTCTGAAGTCAATATATCCTTCACCACCACTTATCACCAACATTGATTTTAAGGGACTCTGGTTCGAGGACTCTTGGGCTGGTTTATCAGCTGTTAGCTCTGTTCCACCACTACTCTGTGGGCAAACAACCTGACCTAGATTAAAAACAGAATACATTTTTATGCCACATCTCACCGAACAACACCACCTCTATTTGGTCACTGGATGACATACTTAATGCCTGATAATACACTTAACTTTGGATTCTAGCATCTCTTCAGCGAGGGACAGAAAGCTAGCTTTGCTCCAATTTCACCTCTTTAGAGAGATAAAGAATCCGTTCAGGTCAGTTCAATGGAACTCAGAGAATTAAATGCCTCCTGATAGATTTCCCAGCACAGGCATGCACATCTAGACAACGTCACTGAAACAGACTTAAAGACTTTCAGACACACAACTGAAACGATTCAGCGCATGTCAGACCATTAAGTAAACTTCTGTCGTTTACTTCCAGCACACAAGGCGCATGCAAGCACTTGGAGGGTATTCAACTAGCACCGCAGCTCCTAGGAAATTTCTAGTTTTTTCAACTGAGATTCCTTCCTTTGGGGGCGTCTCCCTTAGTAGCTCATCCTTCCTGCAGGATATCAGACTCTTAAATTGGACCTTCCATCAATTAGCAGTTGACTGCCTTCTTAATAGGCAGGTACTGACTCACCACAGTTCCTTCTTCCCAGATGGAAGCGAAGCACTTCTTTCTTTGTGACCAAACCTTTTTCCTCCCATTAAACAATATCGCACTTAGGAATCAGACAAGTCTTGTGAATGAAATATAATAAATTCCTTCTGAATGTACGATTTCATACACTTGCTATCTTTGCCTAAACACTATGTTTAACTAAGCAGAACTTAACTTAATGAAAAAGAAACTTCATTTCCCCTCACAAAACCTTACCAGGCACTGCGACAAAGAATTTAACAGCATCACGGTGCCCATGGAAGCACAGCTGCGCGTGTGCCATTGAACAATACGGTATGAATGTTCCCGGAGTCACTTTGTCGCTGTTTTCATCACCATATACACGTATTACACTCCCTGGACGGTTTCCGGAGCCTGCTGCTGCTTTATTAGCTGTAAAAGAAAAGAGGTGTTTTCTACTTGAAAATACAAATTACAGAAATGGTTATTTGTTAAGAAACCTTATGGTACCATCTAAAAGCTAAAGCCAACTTAGATAAAAATGAAACAGGAGGGCAGCAATGCCAATTCAAGACAGAGCTGGAAAGAAAAAAGATTGCATGCTTCGTTATTTTAAGTACATCAGAAAATGGAGCAGGATTCTTATTAGTCTAGCATAAACACCAGATTTTAATATCCTACTTTTGGAAAAAAATAATTTATCAAAGGACTGTATCTTTCATAGAAAATAAGTACCTCGAATATGTTTCGGTATGAGCAAATTCAATGTACTTAAACATATAAGGAAAGACAGTTCCATTCCAACTAATCATAGGGTATCCCCTTGCCAGCAAAAATTCTCTAAAAATAGCCACCTGTGGGCATTAAGGAGCTACCCTATTATAATTCTACATCTAGTTTTTACTGAGATGTTTTAAAATCCATTAAAACAGAGAAGTACTCATGCTAGACATACAAGCCATCTCCATTCCAAAGACTATCAAAGTAGTGAAAGAAACAGTGATTTGTAACAAGACAGTAAATGATGTGGATTAATGACAAAGTTATAAGATATGGTATCACATTGGCTGGAAGAAAAACAAAGTCTGTATGACAGTTCAGCTGCAACACAGGATGATATACTAAACTGCTGAGCAGATTGGTGGCCATTTAGCAAACATAAAAAACTGCTGCAATGCAGTAACTGCAAGTGGAAAAACATTTAGGAACATACAAAGGGTAAATCTATAAGGAGTGGGAAACAGCCTCAAAGTGGCTATTAGAAGCCTGAAAATAGATTTTTTTTGTTCAGGATCTGCACTTACCCCTCAGCCCCAGTAAACGTCCCTGGTGGAGGATTACAGCTAAAGTGAGAAAGGAGGAAAGGGGAAATGGATAGGTATGACAGTAGAGGAGAAGGATTAATGAGAACCCACCACTCTTGCATTTTGGTTTTTGATAAGGTAGAGCTTAAAATTTTAGCTCCTAAAAACAGCAAATATCTAATTATAGAAGATTCAATAAAAAGTCAAAGAACAGCATCTTGTTATAACAGTTTCAGTACAAAATGGACATTGAAAGCACTGCCACTTTCACGTGCTTTATCACTATAAAATTTATTATTGATTAGCAACGTTTCCCCTTTCTCGCTTTCCTTGGCAGGAGGCTACCAATACATAACAACTCAAGTTTTCAAGTGCCCTTTTGAAACATCATCTGCAGATCTAGAAGGTGCCCTGCTATTGAGACCCAGGGAACCAAGATATGCAATTGCTTACGCAGGGATGTGACTGTCTTTGAAAACCATGAATATTTGTAACAAGGATTCTCAAACCCACTACCAGGCTACCCACAAGCGGTTGTTCCGATTCGCGAACAACTAACAAAACTGAAATTAAACTGACTAGCTTTGATAGGGACTTTTTCATGTCCACTGCTGTTTTAAAAACTCCGCTGGAAACATTACATTAAGCTTGATGCAAATTAAGAGCTATAATTTTTGAAGGCACGATTTAAGCTATTTCAGATTTATGATAGGAAGTCTGTCCTTCCTTAGTACACTCATGCAATGCAAAAAGAGACATTTACTGAATGGATGCACAATGTAATGGAACAGTATGAGAAACAATGCAGGTATGTGCTGTTCAACAAAGCAGAAACAACATGAAGAGTTTTTACTATTAAGTTACCCTAAATTTCCTCTCAGACTGTACTACTTTCTATATAAGAACAGTACAATTAGGATTATCAAAGTGCTGTGTTTTATTTTCTGAACCTTCTGTCCATGCGTTTTAAGATTAGTCTCAAGTACAAGTGTTGGGTGGGGGTTTCTGTGTTGTTGTTGTTGCTTTAAATGCAATCAATTTACACACAGACTCTTCCCAAGCTTTACCTATTTTTGTTTTGCCCTTGAGATGGATCATTCCCTCCTCCCAAGGTTCAACTGTCCATGTCTGAATGCTTCCCCTCCCACCCCTGAATAGGTTCAACTTATGACAAGAGTTTGAGGTCTGTTATTAAGAAGATACCTGGATTTGCATTATTGGAATTTTACCTAGAAGTTAGTGCTGTATTTGTAGAATGTGTTTACAAACTCCTGTAACTTTGAACACGTCCTTTAAAGCGGCTGGTTCTACTGCTGTGTCCCTTCCAGCAGCTTTGTGACAAACTCTCAAGAACTAAAGCCAATCAAATTGTATCAGCAACAATACGAACTTGCTCAAGCAAAAATCTACTTTGGTGATCATATGGCAACCAAACCCAACATTGATTAGAAAACTAAAGCCATCTCTTACAAGCAATAAGCTTCTATTAATGCTGCTAATGCTCATAACCACCTCTAAGGCTTCAGTGCGTCTCTTCCATTCAAGTCATAGCAACTCTGCTCAAATTGAAGTACAGGAGATTTTGGCCATGGGCTTTTTTGCTTAGAGTAATTGTATCGATGTACACAGAGTACGCAGAGTAGATGCTAAACATAACACAGGCCCAATCTGTTACAAACCTGAAAGATTCAGACCTGGCAATAAAGCTTTCTACCCATTAGCAAGCATCTGAATGGCGTTTAATATTCTCTTTTTGTGTCTACAGCATATTGCACAGTGCTATTCATTTATATTTTACTTACTTTCTGTTAATGGAATGGAGATGATGACACCATTTCCTGTTCCTACCCATAAACGATTACAAGACACCATAAGAGCTGTGATTCTCACAAATGAGAATCCCAGTTTACCAGTACCTAAAAACAAAAGATGCTTTTCATCAAAAATTATGAGCAAGAATAATTTTAGTTCCATAACAGAGAATCTTAACTCCAATTCCCAGATCACGCGAACAAGTAATTCCCTCCCACTTCAAACAGAAACAAGGCAGAGGAGTACATTTAAGTTGTAAAGATAACCTAAAAGGCTAAAACACCCTGTTAATTAAGTTGTGAACTTATACAGAAAGAGACTAACAAGAACTGTGAGAAAAGCACAAAAGGTATGACAGCTCCAGAATGCTGCACAATAAAATCTTTTGGGGCTTAGAGCACCAGGGCAGCTTTTTTTTTTTTTTTTTTAAAAAAAGTGAGTTTACAGATGTAAGATAATGGTTTCTCATCTCTTAAAATTAATTTCTCGTCCATTAGCATTACGAGGGGAGCAGAAGTCTGACCAGCTAAGCACAATGGCACAGTAGTTACTTGTGAAGGATTTCTCGTGGCCCAATTACGTGTATTTGTTGTGTTATGTAGGTGGTCAAACTGCTCTTACATAAACATTAATAAAAAAAATCAGAAAGTTTATTAGCTTCAATAACAGTTAAAATTTGCTATTTTTCATTTTTATTTTCGTGAAAAAGAAGAAATTTTTCCAGGCAAGTAATAGGATTCTTCCCACTTTTAGATTTAAAAAAAAGAGGCATTAGTACAGTAAAAAAGAAAAAGATTTTAGCGTCTCCATTGCTTCCTGCCCAACCCAGTTACCATTTCCCTCATTAGTTCTGAGTTTTTAGGGGCACCTTAAACATCAGGTAGGATCAACAGACTGTGTCAGAAGACCTATCATCCTCATCGTGCTTTACAGACTGATTTAGGCTTCTACTTCCAGATTCAAGTTTTCACTAACACGATTTGACTAGCCTTCAACCCACCCTTCCCCCTAGTTTGCAGTGAGAATTGCCTGATCTGTAAGAGGAAAAGAAAGCTCCAGGCAGCAAGAGGTGTAAGAATACAACAGTTTTTCTTATCAACTTACCTAGCATTTTGCTTACATAAGGTTCAATGTCCACATCTTGTAGGTGCTGATACGTGTGCGCATGATAGAGACGCAGGGTGGAGTCCAAACGAATAGACACCCATACCCCATCACCCACCCATGCCAGCTGTCTCACTTGGCTTTCTCTTCTTGGGTGTGCATCAAATGATTTCTGCGAAAGATTGGGTTTTAAATCAGAAGATGAAACAAAGGAGGGTAAGACAGACTCCTCTTACTCTTACATTGTCAATACTGGCAATTTTCTTAAGTCATCTGCTGCCCTCCGGTTTGCAAGATCACTAGCAGATACAGTTTTTATTTCAGTTACAAATACCATACGATCCTGGTAAAGTAATGGTAAAAATGCTGACTCCCTTCCCTAGAGTGCGATCTCAAAGCCATAGTTCCCTGCTGTGTCTTCATTTACATATCCCATTCCAGCCTACTCTGGCTTCTGTCTCCATTTTAACATGGAGCTTTTTTGACATGAGGTCCTCCAGCCACAGCACAAGATACATATGCCCAAAAAGTGTTTTTCCTCCTAGTACTGTCAAGCCTTGCTCTAACATACAAACCTGTGCAAATCACAGACTATCCACCAGCAAAACAAATTAATTACACTGTTGTACGACTTCCTTCATTTACCTTTTTCCATGTATACAGTCTTCACAAAAAGAGATTATTAACTGGGTGCTTGATATTTTCAGAAGAGCTGAGGAGTCAGCCTCAAAAGGTCTGGCCCACGTCTCAGGCCAATTAGTAGAAGCTGAATATTAATACTGCTAATGGCTGTCAGAAACCTTAGCCACGTCCTGTGCTTGAGAGTTGTCAGGTACACATACAACACTGCGGAAACACCAGCTTACACACCTGAAACTATGCTGTAACTGGAGGGAGAGTACATTCAAGATCAACGCTTACAGACCTCTAAAGTATGCAAAGACAGATTACAGAGAAGGCTACAAGCGGGTGGAGAACAGTGAGGCATACATGTAGAGAATGAGCTGGGAGCCTTACAAGCTCTGTGCAAGGACACTTTCCTGTTCTTGGCCAGCTGGAAGCGGAGAACTAAACCACCCCCAAACTGCTTTCAATAAATGAGAACTGTCTCATCATGGCTTAATGTCTTCCAAAACAATGAAAACATCTTAAAATATAATAGTATTTCCCAAGACAAATTTGTTTGCCTGCTTGTTTCTGTACTGATGAACAAATAACTGTTCTCTGGAGTTACTCTGGAGTTCGAGCTGTAGCACGAGATGGCATTAAAACATAACATTTAATTATTTTAAAAAACATTTTAACTTGCCTCTATTTTCATGGCCTTTGGTTGAACAACATAGATTTTGTTCCTGTAGCCACACCAGACTTTGTCATGTACCACTGTCATGCACCTTATCGAATGATGTGGCCGACCCAGGTCTAAGAGGTGATAGTTCGTCAAATCCCACTGACCATCTTTTAAAACAGGAGGAAAAGAAAAAACAAAACAAAATATAGGTTCCTATGAGTTTAAAAATCATTTAAAAGCACAGGTGAATATCTTAGCAGTCTAATTTTTTAAAAGCACTGTAATAATCTGGATAAGGCAATACAAATTTATGGCTAGGCTCCTCATTAAAAAAACAGCAACTAGTTTTATGAACTATCAACATCCCAAGTAGTACTTTGTTTTTACGTAATAAGGTTGTACAGTGACTCATGTTCAAAACATGTCTAAATATTTTTAAAACCAGCAAATTACCTAGTGCTAAATGCTTTACTTGGATAGGCATCCGTATACATTACAACAAGCACTTGCTGCTTGACTGAATATAGGCATGTTGGCCAGTGCATCAAGATTTTTTCAAATACGCTGCAAGATCTTAAGACTGGCACCTGAAATCTACTGAAAGCATACTAAATTTGGTCATTCAACACCAAGTAAATTCTTCTGTAAGCTGAGCTAAACCACAGATCATCACTAACATTTACTTGAGATCCTTACGAGATTGTAAGCCACTAGAGTGAGTTTAAAAACAAACACTAAAGCCATAACAACTTCTTCCCATATGCATCTTTCACAATATTTGCATTAGTGCTGTGCAACCTCTTTAATTCTTCTAAATGCAGAGCACAGGGATTTAAACTCCACAAGGAAAAGAACAAATGAATAGGGAAGCTGTGGGAAGAAGCCAACAGATAAGTTCCAGTTACTCATAGTAAGACCTTCCCATCCAGGTCCTTATTCTGGAGGCTGAAGAATGGAGCTCCCTCCAGGAGTGGTTTGGGCAGAAATTCTGAAGGGATGCTTACAAAATTCTCATTGAAGGACTTGGCCACAGACAATTATTAACACTACTAACAAAACAGAAGACAAGACTATTGAGCATGATGAAAAAGCAAGAGATGATGATCAGAGCGGACTATCAACTGGCTTTTCACTATTTAACTCAGACATATCTCATTCTTCTTCTCAAAGTAAGAAAAAATTCCAGGAATGCACCAGGACAGTACAAAAATGGTACTTGAAACTGCAACTAAAATACTACAAAGGTTTCTCAAGACAACCTGTGAAAAGGCCATTGGGGAATACATTTTCAAAACACTAAGTGGCACATTTCTTTCCTAAATACAGTTACAACTTCACTGGTTCCAAGATCTAATAGAATGCTTACCAACTCCTCGGTGAAATATTGCTAGTGTTCCATCAGCTAGTGCAACTAATACTATTCCTTTTACATGTCTGGGAAAAGAAAGGAGGTACAAGAATATACACTGTTAGACTGCATTTCTCAAAATGCAAGTTTAAAGTAAGGTATAAACATTTTATATTTCAGCATTTTTTTATATTCACATTAACCCTAGTGTTTTGATTTCTGCAATATAGCTCAAGCAAAGGGACAGTAACAAGGAGTCAAAATCCAGTTTAGAAAGCTTAAAATACATCTAGCTACAATGCCTGAAGAAAACGTCAAGGGTAACAACCTGTAACTGTTTTGAGTATACAGCTACCAAGACTACCAAGTATACAGCTACAGCTTATCATTTGAGCTACAGCATTTTCAACAGATACCATTGATATACTATCAAGATTCTTCCTATTTTCCTTCCTTCATAAACAATTTCCACCCCCCCTCAAAGAATATGCATGCATTTATGTCAACTGACATTCCCAATATCCGAGGAGGAAATATAAAACTACTTTGCAAGTATTTTAATAGAAATTCATTATGATTTACATGACATTCTTTCAGGACTTACACAATACTGAGAATAGAGTCTTTAAGTTTAATGGCATGAACACACTTCCTCCACTGGGCCACTGACGAGTGAACATACAGGCTGCAAAAACAAATCAGGAGAGATTAAAAGCATTAAGAAAGGTCTGCTAGACAGGAAAAAACAGGCAACCCCCCTATAATTGAAATCCACAATTAAAGGGAAAATAAGCTGTCATCTTTCACTGAACACTACATCTAGTCTGAAAGAATGAGCTACATGAGCAGCAGAACAGTTTTTCAGATGCCTGAAACATTGCCAAGTCCTTTGCAGATGCATCTGCAATTAAAAGGGCAATATACTTTTCTAGTATAATAGAATATTGAAAGTTACAGCATTATCAGACCATAACAATTTCTTTCACAAAAAAACAACCAATCAAACAACCAACTTTTCCACAGATAAAAGTGTTATCTCCCAAAAAGAGTTTGCTAATCACCCATAATACTTTGAATTCTGTAATGCCTAAATGTAGCAAAGCATACAAAGTTTAGGCTCCCTTGAGGGCTTCTTGCACTTTATCTTGACTCAAGACAGTCATCACCCTGTAGGTACCAGCAGCAACTTCAAACTATTTTTTCCAAATAAATCTAACAAGATTAGCATTTTCTTACCATCCATTCTGTGCTCCAAGCCACATTGTTGGTAAAAGGCTACTCATTTTTTGTGCTTCTTCTCTCACTAGATCTTGCTCATTCGGCAAGACCGCAACATCTTTATATAACTCTGACTCAGTACTGAAAAAAAAAACCAGTTAAAATACATTTAATAATGGGCATAGATTACTCAGATTATAACCTATGTTTTGCTTTTTAAATACATTTTAAGATGTATGAGGACTATGTACCTAGGCTGGTACACTGGAGATGCCTCTGTTGTATTCTGCACTCCCAGAGGATCTGTAAAGACATGCTCTGTGTAGACTCCAGTTTGTGCAATATCAGCTGTGTCTTCTCCTGTCCCTGCATTGACTTCTGTTGCTTCTGTTGCCTCCTCCGCTGTTGGAATGTTCTCATCTACTGAATTACTTTCAGTTGCAATATCTATGGAACAAAAAAAATTGAAAAACTTAACAATCGCAAGAGAATTCTCAATTGTTTAAAACAGACAGAACTTGATACTTAAAACTGAAGTGAGTATCTGTAACAAGCAGATACATGATCTGGATTGTGACTATCTCATAAAAAAACCCAACAAAACATAGCGCAACCTACTGGTTGGGTACCAACAAGTGTCAAATGCACTTTAAGTATCAAACCAGTAACTGATGGCACAGAGTAGCCTTTAAGGGATTAACTAGAACAGCGGTGAAATCCAATCAGTTAAAAAACACAGCTATAGCAACAGTATTATATGCCATAAGAAAATAAATAACGTTCAAGTCCAACAAGCACATATCCATTAACAATCACATCACCACGCAGCTCTGAAGGGCATATGATAGAAAATATTAAGAATGACTATAGAGTAAACAGCTTCACTTAAATCTCTATTAAGACTTTACAAGATTTAAGGTCTATATCCACTTTCTCTCTAGTCATCTGTCGGCAAGATGTGCATTTCAAATATTGAATAACTTAAAAGCTCTCTTTAGACCATGCACAAGACAGAACTCTCTCAAAAGTATTTGAAAGAAGCAGTTCTCTATACCCATTTAATATTGCCTCCACAAAGTTTTCAGCTACAATTACACAATACAAGTACGTCAGACTTACAGGCCGTTTCTCAGAGTACTTGTTTTACGTTACCCCTGCTTGCAGACAAGCTACAACATTAGATACTTGCACCATTCGATTCTCAGTTACATCTCTCGGTGTTTGGCCACCCCCGGCATACCTGTAAGATTTTCGTACCTGACTGTTTATCTGCCACTGGTGAGCCCCCATTTGCATCATGAGCTACAGGTGCTCCTGCGATACCCTCTGCAGTACAGCCAACCACTGTTATTCCTCCTAGCAAGCTATCGGTGTCCGCAGAGCTGTTGCTAGTCATACTTCCACACAGCGATGACTTGTCTACTTGACTGGCATCTGCTTCTTGAGACCCTTCTTCTCCTGCAGGATAGTCTGTTTCCCTTGCTCCTGAAAGAGATTAAACTCACATGTTTCTTGTGGGGATAAAGGTGAATCACTTCTCCACCTAGTGACAAACTAAGCTTCAAACTGAATGAACTCTCCAGCAACTGAGATGCAGACACCTATCTACAAGCTTATTTTAACAGAATCAGCAGACATTAAAGATGCTATCACAAACCTCAAAAAGCAAAAGCAGCATCTAACATATGCTGCACATCTGAATGTCATACGCCGTATTTCGATCTGCAGAGTTCTCCAGATAGTTTATTTCTATTTCAAATACATTTTTCATTAAAACTAGATTTCATAACAGTGCATATATGCAGGGATACCCATCTACATCTTTATGAAGATTTTAACTGCAATAGATCCTTTGTTCCAGAAGAAAAGCTGTTTTTCTCTCATACAACCCTCTCAAATACTTTTAAGACCTAAAATATTATTCTTGGTTTCTTGAAATTTTTTTCGTATTTCACTATATTTTATGCTGTTTTGATTTTATAAGTTATACATATTTTCAATGGAGCAAAACCTCAAGCTTGACTGGAAAGAGGTTTCTTCTGAGCTTATTAAACAAAACTACTTCACTGGAACTAGTGCTAAAGACTTCTATAAGTATAAGCAAGAGACAAGAAATCCAAAAGCACAATTAGTTCTTCTCCAGAATCCTAACACCCTCCTACTGAACCGCCCTCAGCATGCTCTCCACATACACTCTCAGTGTAACAAGGATTCCCTCTACAGGAAGCTCCAAGACTTGCTACTTTATCTTCAAGAGGCTGAAGAGGTCTAAAAGGCCAACATATTTTTCTTTTGTTATATAAAGTCCCATAAGACATTGGCACTATTATAATACAGCAGACAAAATACTTAGTCTTGGTTGCTGATATCTCTCTACCTCTGAGTTCATTTAGGTCAAGAGCCAACTGCAGAGTAGAACAGTAGAATAAAAGTCCAACATTTTTCCTGCAACTAAACACTTTTTATTGCTGTGCTACAGTAACATTTTATTACACTAATAAACAAATCTTTCGTTTTTCATTGCATTAAAAAAAAAAATCTGAGTAAGATACAGTTAAAAAAGGAGGAGCTAAAACATCACAAGTCTTTACCTGGTACACTAGCAATACAAAGCACATGAGAATTGCAAACAATGAAACTGTCCAGAATATTTCCTGGCTGATTAGCATCAATAATGATAACTTTTGTAGCAGAATGTGTGCTAGTACAGATCCAAACTAGACTGGATAATTCTTCCTGATGTTTCAGCTCCTTCTGCTGGTCCTGAAGGAGAATAAAAGCAGAACAGAAGTGAACAGCAACAGGAAGGGGGACAAGAATAGAACCTTTGATCACATATGTTATGTTATCAGCTACAGAAGTATACATAAATATGTGGTACGTTAAATATCTTTAATGCCATTGTAAAATTACATGTCGTTACTTGTTCTGTACGTATTTGGAATATAAAAACCCTTCATATTTCATACTTGGGTAGAAAAATATAGAAAATAATTATACTGCATAATTATACAGTTAGACAAGTATAAAGTTACATAAGAACACTATTTACCTGCCAGCTACCACACTCAGGATCGCCATAAATTAATATGATGTACCAAAGCACTTAAAAATTATGCCTTTGTTTGATGCCTTTAATATGAATTCCATTCATTGCTTCTTCATGAAAACATGAAGAATAATACGTTTAAACAACGGCACAAACACCTAAAAACCCCTAATTTAAAAAAAAAAACAAAACTCTGGCATTCAGAATAAGAACAACTCTGTCAAAAATATTTTTTAAAGCAGGCAGCACTGGTATAAGAAGTGTATCACTTTAATGTAAAATTAATTTGCTCCTCAGATTTGCCAACAAGCTGGCACACAGGAAAGAATCACAGTATTTCTGTAGTTGGATTTGATAACCCAAATATCTTGGGTTGATGACTATCCAAGAGAAATCTATTTGCTAACAATAAACCTGATTACACAGTATTTTATTAATCTACAGATATACGGTAAAGATGTTTTTACTACATAAACTATTCAACGTGCCTTACAGTGACCTTACCTTGAGCTCTTGGTCTAGTCTATCTAAGCTACTTTGAGATCCTGTTTGCTGCTTGTTGCCATCTGCATCCATACCAGTCACATCATTGTAGAATACACTAGCACCAACCACAGACCCGCCATCTCGTGTTTTCCCTCCTGACAGGTTTACCCCTACAGCACACCACAGCTTGAAAGAAAAAAATAAATACTTCACTTAAATGTTAAAACAAAAAAAAAAAAAGGGACATAGTCATTGTTAAATATGCTAAGTAATATCAAAATTATTATATATCTGCAGTCAATTTCAAGGAATTCATTAAGATTAAAATAATGTACATTTCCACTGAAGCTTAAATTTTGATTCACCTATGCTTTAAAAAAGAAACAATTATTTTCTTTTTGAAGTAAAGTTAAGTCCAAAATTAAAAAATATTCCAAGTGTCCAAGGTTGTCCAAGTCTCTATATCATCACTCTAAATATCCTACCTTCATAGAGGTATCCTTCTCATCTAAAGGTCTCAGGTAAACAGGTACAGGCAAGTTCTTCATCTTATTGTCACCCTGGGCACCATTTGCCACCTAGGCAAAAAAAAAAAAAAACAAACAACAAAAAAAAAAAACCAAACCAGAACCAGAAAAGCATTCCCCTTTAAGAGGTTTACAGTCTTTGGAATCAGTTGATCAGACTTAGTTAAACACAATTAAGAGTTTTGCATTGTGTTTTCCTTATAAAGATTCTTAACTGCAGAAGTTCAACAAAAAATGCTGGAATCACACAAACACAAGTTGTGAAGTTATACCTCGTTCAAATTTCACAAAGCATGAAGTCATTAACGCTACATTTGAAAACATAAGCATAGTACCTGTTTGTACTTCTGAGGTAGACTCCAGCCAAATGCTTGCACTCTACCATCCTCTTTCTGAACGTGTGCTTTCACTTGGCGATACTGCTCTCTTTTCTGCTCTCTGCGTGAGGCTAAACTGGCTTCAGTTCTAGGGAAGAATCATTATGAAAGAACCTGTTATTTTATGCTTTTTAGAATTCTGTGTGTAATGAGAGTTGCCATTAAACTCAATATACAAGATCTTTGTGGGAGCACTGGGTTACCAAAGGAGATCACTAGTTCTTCACATATCACCTATAGAACACCGGGTTTCTTGTGAGTTATTTAAGGGACATGTGAAAGACCTGCAAAACCAGAAAGTCTATTGTCAGTATCCTTAAAGAAAATTAACTTGGGCTATGTACCTCTATTAGAAGCTTTACAAGTTGTAAACCAAAAGGACATATTGCCAAGAAGCAGCACAGGAGAAAAAAATATTATAGACACTTGTTAGCCTGACTCATGTTGTTCTGTTTTTCCATTGAACTTAAAGTGAAAGTATCTGTACAATTATGGCTGAGCTACAGCACCTGCATATAAAAGCATACCAAGTGCTGCCTCCTGTGCCTACATGCACTTTTATGAAAGGCAGTGATATTGACCAAATTGAATACTACTGCCAGGTACCCAGAGTCCTCATCCACTGCTGGGCATTTCACTCTGCACTATATTGACTTCTTATGTATCAACATTGACTTCAGGAAAACACTGTACTTCATTTATAGAATTACAGAATCACTAAGGTTGGAAAG